TTGGACACTTAACTGACTGATCCACCCAGGCGCCCCTATCATCTTTTTAATCTTACATGACTTTAACATTTATATGGATAATCTCTTTGTCATCTGGTCTTTCAGTACAAAGTTCTTTTTTCCCCATTGATCTTATTCTGCATTCTGCTGCCATCCATCCACTTCTGTAGTTCTTGTTGTCAGATAAAATTGTTGCATCTATGAAATTCTTGATTCAGGCATCCTCTTTTTGAACACCAGTTGTATATTTCTAGCTTACTTATTTAAATACTCCCATTCTGATTTTTTTAACTTTATCTGGCCCTCCAGTCCAACAATCCCTTTATTTTCTCCTTATACTTTCACCTTTGTCTTAATATTTTTTTTCATCCTGTTTAGATTCTATATTCCATCATTTTAATAAATTTTTACCAATATCCTAAACTCTTTTGTTCCTCTTTGATTTTTTTTTTTTCCCATTCTTCTGAAACCACCCCAGCCCTGGATTTGCTTTCTCTTTGCGTATACCCAGTGGAACAAGAAAATCTCACAAGAGCACAGATTGGTCTCACTATAAATTCATAATCACTACCTATAACCTTGGGCCATCAGCACTACCTGATGACTGATATTGCCTGAGGTCATCTTGTTCTCTCTCAAAGACTGTTTCAAATCTTTGATTTGCCTCAAATTTCTATTTTTGCTCCTATACTTAGCATATGATGTCATGTCCTTTTCACAGAAAAATAAAAGCCATTATATCAGAATTACTTCAGCCTCTTGACACCAAAGCTTTATAAGCCTAACTGCAGTTGTGCCTAACCTCTCTTTCAGTGCCAATGGAAGAAGGTATTTCTTCACCCCTCGTTAAAGTTCAATTCCTCTACCTGACTGCTGGTTCCCATTTCCTATCTCCTAATCAAACCTTACATTCATTTAGCCCTTTTTATCCTCTTCCTCTTGGTAAATCATATGAGCATTAATATATGCTATGGTTCATCTAACCTTAAAAAGAGAAAAAAAGATCTCTTATTTGACTCCATTTAGCCTCCATCTACTTGCCAGTCTTTTATCTTCCCTTTTGCAGTCAAAGTTCATAAGAGCTGTCTGTATTTTCTATCTTAATATCCTCTGCAACTTTCCCTCCCACAAAACTACTCTTTTAAAGCCCTCAGTGACCCTCATACCACTCATGCAAGTAGATTTTTAATTTACATCCTATTTGACTTCTCAGAAACTTTTAAATAGAATTTCTCAGGGGCGACTGGGTAGCTCTTGGTTAAGCATCCAACTCTTGATTTTGGCTCAGGTTATGGTCTTGCGGTCATAAGATTGAGCCTGGCATCAGGCTTCATGCTGAGTGTGGAACCTGCTTACGATTCTCTATCTCTGCCCTTATCCTGCTCATGCGCGCACACGCGTGCTCACTCTCTGAAAAAATAAATAAATGAACTTAAAATAAATAGGGGCACCTGGGTGGCTCACTCGGTTGAGCGTCTGCCTTCGGCTCAGGTCATGATCTCACATTTGTGGTTCGAGTCCTGCATTGGGCTCTGTGCTGATAGTTCAGAGCCTGGAGTCTGCTTTGGATTCTGTGTCTTCCTCTCTCTTTGCCCCTCCCCTGCTCACTCTCTGTTTCTTTCTGTTTCTCAAAAAATAAAATGTTAAAAAAATTTTTTAAGTAAATAGAATTGCCCAAGTTTTGTGAAACTCTCTTCTTTGGCTTCCATTGCATCAGAATCTCCTGGTTTTCTTTCTACTGCTCAAAGAAAATGGGAAACTGCTGAAATATTTTAAGCAGGGAAGAGCCAGCTGTAGTATGCTGAAAGCTTTCAAAGGGAGAGGATGTGGCTGAAATAAAGGAAGACCAGTTATGGTGTGCCTGGGTAGCTCAGGCAGTTAAGCTTCCGACTTCAGCCCAGGTCATGATCTCACAGTTCATGTCTCTGCTGTCAGCACAGAGCCTGCTTCTGATCCTCCTGTCCCCCTTCCTCTGCCCCTCTCTAGTGTGTGCTCCTCCTCCCCCAATAAACATTAAAAAAAAAAAAAAAGACCAGTTATGAAGCTACTATAATAGTCTAAGCTAGAGATGATGTTTGCTTGAATTAGAATGGAGACAGATGATTTGGAAAGAATTGAAAAGATCAAGGGAAATTTAGGAGATAACATCAATAAGATTTTGTGATAGATGGAATATAGATGGTTAGAAAACAGGAAATTGCTTTTTCTGATTTAGGCATCTAAAATAGATGGTATGTCGTTTATCATAGAAAAAAACTGGACAAAACCATGTTGAGCTTTAGGTGTATTTGAGATTCTGAATGGAAATGTCATGAGGGAAGTTGGATATATAAGCCTGAGTCTCAAAAAGAGCTAAGATAGAAATATTTTAATTGTTACTGTATAAATGGTAATATAATTGAAGTCATGCACATAAAAGAAATAATTGGGAAAAGCCTACAGAGTAGGGAGAGAATTCAGTCTCAGCTTTGGTGCGTTCTAGTATTTGAAGGTTGATTCAAGTAGTATGTATGAGTTGCCAAAGAAGACTGAGGAATCATTACAGCAGTAAGAGAATTTCATATCTAGGAAACCTTGGGAAGAGAGTGTTTTAAGAAAAGGAGGAAGCATTTTTGTTCTCATTCAAATGTAATGTATCACTTATCCTACTTAATGATAACTGCCTGTTTACATGCACATACAACCAGCAGTTTAAGTTCTTTTCGGGACTGTGGGTTGAACTAGCTTGGCAAGCAAACATTTTCTGTAAAGTTCCAAATAGTAAATATTTCAGATTTTGTGTGCCATGTGATCATCTCTGGTGTAACTACTCAACTCAGCTATTGTAGCATGAGAACAGCCATTTACAGTACAATAAAGATGAGTGTGACTGTGTACCAATAAAACTATGTATGGATACTGATATTTGAATCTTGTAGTTTTCACATACCACAAAATACTGTTCTTGTGACTTCTAAAAATCATTTAAAATAGAAAAAATGTTCTTAGCCTGTGGGCTACACAAAAACAGGGAGGAGACAGATTTGGCCCAGGGCTGTAGTTTACTCACCCTTTTCCCATAACTGAACCCGTGGCCTGTACCATAACATACCCTCAAGTAAATTTTTGTTGAATAAATTAAAGTTGAATAAATTCTAGTCTAGTTTATATGTCTCTGGGGGGTGGGGAGTTGATGAAGGTAGGCTTTCCTCTTTAAGTCCTGAAAGCAAGAATTCATACTTTATGTTCATGCTTCTCTTTCGAGATTAAGTTTTAATTTGCTAAAAGTAAATTTAACATTTTGAAGCACTATCAAGTGGCTAGAAAACAGTTTTAAATGTTTAAAAAGATATATTATTTTGGGTTATGGAAAGGTAAAATCATTGTTCCAGGGCTTCCTAGAATACACAGAGTTTTTGGGTTTGATTTTTTTTTTTTTTTCAACGTTTTTACTTATTTTTGGGACAGAGAGAGACAGAGCATGAACGGGCGAGGGGCAGAGAGAGAGGGAGACACAGAATCGGAAACAGGTTCCAGGCTCTGAGCCATCAGCCCAGAGCCCGACACGGGGCTCGAACTCACGGACCGCGAGATCATGACCTGGCTGAAGTCGGACGCTTAACCGACTGCGCCACCCAGGCACCCCTGGGTTTGATTTTTATTAATACCTAAGGTTTTAAAAATGCCTACAGTCAGTAAAACACACCTTTATATCATTGAGAATTCTAATTTTATTATTATTTGTCTTAAGTTTTTGTTTTCATTTGATCTCTGTCATATAAGGCCACACTGTCAGTAGGACATGAACCCTGCATTTATATTGCTAGAATTTAGCATGAGAGACAGTCTATAGGCAAATGAACAAATAGATTAATATATATTTACCAATTGTGATATACCATGAAGGAAATTAACAGGTGTAATATTATAAACTAATAATGAAAGAAGAGCAAAAATAGTTAAGGTTGTCAGAGAATATCTCTCTTGAGAAGTATTATTTATGCTGAGACTTGAGTTATATGGGTGGGAGAAGAGTACCTAGGTAGAGAGAGAGCATGTGTGATGACTCTGGGTCCCATGAGAGCTTACTATTTTCCAGGAACTGAAAGGTGGTTTTCGGCATAAATAACTTGGGATCTCTGCATTTAAGAAATCTACAAATTAATTATACAACAGATATTGATATATTTTGGATTTTTAAAAAATCAGGCAGTCTGTACTAAGTTATGGCTCATAAGTATCAGGATCAAAATTGGCTAGGTTAAAAAAAAAAAAAACCCAGTGTGTTCCACAATCACTGAAAATTATTTAGCTGAAATGGTGTTGCTGTTATGTATATGGATTGACAGATAGTTGGAACAAATGTGAGTGATTCCCATACCAAGGGCTATTTAGCACCAAACTTCAAATGTGCTAAGTCAAAGAAGAAAATGGTTCCTACATGAGTAACTCCATTTAGTCTTCAAAAATGTGGCACATGAAGGTATCACCACAAGAAATGACTTTAAGCAAAAGAAGAATGGCTGACCGTATGACTTGTGAGTCACTGTCAGTAGGAAGAGGACAGAACAGGTTGAATAGAGGGTAGAAAAGAGTGAGGGAAATAGAATGTACATAAATGGAGGTGAAATGAGAATCCTGGTCACTCAGAGTAGAGGAGGAGGACAAGAGGGAAGAATTCAAGTAAAAAGAGAAGGGAGTATGCTCATAGTTTAAGAGGAACATATTCTAGTAAGCATAATTTTATACGGGGTAAAACCTTAGAAAAGTTTAATCTACCCATTGCTTAATCATGTGAGAAACTCTAAATCAAAGCTGATCATTGTCTTTGATTATCACTTCTATTTAAAATCTTTGTTTTGCAATAGTTCACTTTGAAAACTCAAAGTGACAAATGATATACTTTTATCATATTTTATAAATTTTTATCTTTTTAAAATAATATTTGCAAATATTTGTTTTTAAATAAAATGTATATACCGTCTAGTATGTTGTATTTATTTACTCAATGTTCTTTTAAGTGTTTCAGGCTGCATGTACCAAGTAGTTCAGACGATTGGCTCGGATGGAAAAAATCTTCTGCAATTACTTCCAATTCCTAATTCTTCTGGAAATCTTATACCGCTAGTTCAATCTTCAGTCATGTCTGATGCTTTGAAAGGGAATACAGGAAGCCCAGTTCAAGTTACTTTTCAGACTCAGATTTCCAGCTCTTCCACAAGTGCATCAGTTCAATTGCCCATTTTTCAGCCAGCCAGTTCTTCAAACTATTTTCTTACAAGAACAGTAGATACAGCAGAAAAAGTTAGAGTTACTTCTGTGGGAACTGAAAATTTTACCTCATCAGTTTCTAAAGTTCAGAGTCATGGTGTGAAAATTGATGGACTCACCATGCAAACATTTGCTGTTTCTCCCTCCTCAACACAAAACGATTCACCTTATATTTTAGTAAATACTCAGAGTCTTCCAATGACTGTGAAGTCTCCAGTTTTGCCTTCTGGGCATCATTTACAGATTCCAGCCCATGCTGAAGTGAAATCTGTACCAGCGTCTTCATTGCCTCCTTCAGTTCAGCAAAAGATACTTGCAACTGCAACCACAAGTACCTCAGGAACAGTTGAGGCCTCCCAAATACCAACCGTTATTTACGTATCTCCTGTAAACACAGTGAAAAATGTAGTTACCAAGAACTTTCAAAACATTTATCCAAAACCTGTTACAGAAATAGCAAAGCCAGTGATACTAAATACCACACAAATGCCAGTGAATGTTGCTAAAGAGACACAATTAAAAGGTGGTCAGCATTCTCAAGCTGCTCCTGTGAAATGGATTTTTCAAGAAAATCTACAGCCTTGCAGTCCATCTCTTGTTCCTGTTAAGTCTTCAAATAATGTGGCTTCCAAGATTTTAAAAACTTTTGTAGATAGGAAAAGTTTGGGAGATAATACTATAAATATGCCAGCATTGAGCACTGTCAGTCCTAGTGGGACACAGTCCAAAAGTATGCCTATTAAAGATAATGCTTTGGTTATGTTTAATGGGAAAGTCTATCTATTGGCTAAAAAGGGGACAGATGTTTTGCCATCACAAATTGACCAACAGAATTCTGTTTCTCCTGATATTCCACCAAGAAAAGATACATCACAGATAGTGAGTTCAAGCCCAGTCACAGAAATATCCAGAGAGGTTGTAAATATTGTTTTGGCTAAAAGTAAATCTTACCAGATGGAAACAAAATCATTTTCAAATACTCAGCCTGCTTCCATGATCAATCTAAGGGCAGAGAAGAATAAAAAAGTGGAGAAACCATCTCTTTCTACCCCAAACCCACATAATATGAATCAACCCATTAACTACTTAAAACAGAGTAAGATTTTATTCACAAAGCCAGACTTTCCAGATGGATTTAGTACAGTACAGAATGCCCCCAGAAAAGGAAATATCATCCAGAGCATAGAGAAAATAAGTTCCTCTGTTGATGCAACAACTATCACTTCACAACAGTGTGTTTTCAGAGACCAAGAACCAAAGGTAATTTTCCCATGTCAGGGTGTTCTTTTTCTCTATCTATATAGAAAATTTTTCTTTCTTAATTCTCAAAGTTAGTTACCTATAATACCTCTTCCCCCCACCCCTTCTCCCATCCTCCACTCCATCACACACATACCATACACACATGTATGCTTAATTAAGTCAGAGCTTTCATCTGAAGGCAATGTTTGAGGAGGATAATTGAGAGAGTGCAAACAGTATCTCTCTCTTAATTCATTTGGCATGCCAAAGCTTTAAAACAAAATCAAACAAACAAAAAACTCACAGAGCAAGAAGGTTTATTGGTGAAAGATAATGTGAATTCAAAACTTGGTAAATTCTGTGTCCATGCATGTATTTATTAGATTACTGTTAGTATATGAAAAGATCAATATTACGCATATAGGAGAGCTGGGTTTTTTGTTTGTTTATTTTGTGATGGTAGGGAAATATCTGGCAGTTTTTTTAGGTAGATGGTAGAAGGGGTAGGATGGTGCTAATCAGTACCTTTCAGTCATTTGTGGAAATAGGATTTATCAACATCTTTGATTTTGTTTTGTTTTAAGTAGACGAGTTTCCTTTTTTTTTTTAAGCCCTTCTTTCTGACTCTTTAATTATTCAACATATCCACATAGTTACCTTTCTGTTCTGCTTAAGATATGTGTGTCTGTGCTCACTAAATATTTATGCCCACTCTTTCCTTACCTAGAGGCCTTAATAATGTCAGTGTTTCTCCCCTTCCAGAGATATAAGGAGGTAAATTCTGAAGGAGTTTAAGATTGATTGAAGGCATAAGACTTTTCCAGAAGACTACAGCTTCCAACTAAAGTTATATAGATTATTTTTTGACTTGTCATTAGTTGGTATTATTTCATCTGTTAACCTTTCTAGTGCAAGAAAGCAAAGTAAAATGAGAAATTGTGGAGGAACAGTTTAAGTTTGTACCCAGTTAAATTCATTTTTTTGAGTGTGGGTGGTAAGGCAAGGGTAATGCAAATCAACCATTTAGGACTTTAGAGCATGATGGTTTTTGTTTTGTTTTTTTTAAGTAAGATGAGATGATCACTTAGTTGCCAGTCTGATGAAATAGCTTAAGTAATTGGCAGTATTGTTTGTGTGTTTTTGTTTTCTTAATTGCAGATCCAGAATGAGATGGCATCAACATTAGAAAAAGTTCCTCAAGAGAGGAATGACAAGAACCATTCCCAAGGAGGAAGCAATAAGGTATCACATCTGAAGAATGATGCTGAATTTAAAAAGATATTTGGTCTCACTAAAGATTTGAGAGTGTGCCTTACTCGGATTCCTGATCACTTGGGCTCTGGAGAAGGTTTTGATTCCTTCAGCCGTTTGGTGAAGACCAATACTTATAAAGAGACGGAGTTTATAGAGAAGGAGGAAAAGAAAAGACAGGTAATATATTTTGTGTCCTTTGTAGGTACTACAAACGTTCACGAGTGTGTTTTCTTGATTTGTTTTTTTAGTCGTGTGCATTAATATGAATGGTAGTTTTCAGATTTGCGTGTGTATATATTATACACATTTGGTGTTAAAGAGAACCAAATACACAAAGGTAAAAACGTATCCCCAGTGAATAGAAGGCATTTTAAGTGTTTTTATTCACCTGTTTATTTTTTTTTTCATTAAAAAACTATAAGAAAATGGCCATAACTTTTTAAACTAGCTATCCTACGTTGAAGACCCTATTTAAAATAAATAATCCAAATGTAGGGAAAATACAAGCATGCAGATGGTCGTTGCAATATTACCCTTAATACAGACATTTTAAGAAATCTACTTGGTCAATGATGAAAAAAAATCCCTATGACTTTGCCTATTTTACTTAGAAATATATCATTATTACACTGTGTAATATTCTGAGCTTTAGATCAGAGACTGCTCATCCTTTCCCAATGAAAAGCTTCCACATATGTGCCTACTGTGCACAAGGAAACAAAATTAAGTCAATTCTGCTTCTCAGATTCTTTATAAATGGCTGTTGTATTTTGGCGATAGATCAATACATCTAATAGTTAAGCAGGAAAATGTGAATTAAGCAGTTTATTCTCAGTGAATATCATTAGGACATTGCTATTCATTTTGGTACTGTACAATAGTAAACAATTTTTTGCTAGAGTTCTCAGTATATTTTGTGTAGTTGAATTTAATTGATAAGTATTTGTCACCTGCAGACTGTTAAATTTGACAGCATACTGTCTATGTGGCAATAATTGTTTTTCTTTTGAAATCTTACTCAACATGACAACAGGGTTTTGATAAGAAAAGAAAAGCAAAAACCGTTAAAAAGATGGATCACACAAAGAAGAGAAAAACCGAGAGTACTTATAACACAGCTCTAAATGGTGGAACTAATGTCACCAATTCCCAACTTGTCAGCAGTATTTTACCAACTTCAGATGTATCACACCATAACATTCTCACAAGCCGCAACAAAACCAGAGAAGAAAAGAAAACTGAGGTTGAACACTGTACCCCTGAGAACCAGGAAAAAGGCACATTGAGTTTGAATGTAGCTTTTGAGCAAAGTCATTCCTTTAATAAAAGTTATACTGAAGACATTTTCCCCATGACGCCACCAGAGTTAGAGGAAACCATTCGAGATGAAAAAATAAGAAGACTTAAGCAAGTGCTGAGAGAGAAAGAAGCAGCTCTTGAAGAAATGCGTAAGAAGATGAACCAGAAATAATGAAATGTTGCTCTTCTTAAAGACTGCAGTGAAATAGCTGTGTTTTTTCATATACTTTTGCATTAAGTTAATTATAGATGCATTAAGGTGTTCTTTGCATATGAAACTTGTTTTTTCATCAGTTGATTGTTAAATTTTATTTAAGGACTACAAAAAAGGTTGATTCACATATGATTCTTGTGAATAATCTACATGGGGTATCTGAGTCTTTGTCTAGATACCTTTTTTTGGAAGGAAAAATTTTCTATTTTTCTATTATTTTAATTAGAAATCCCCGAGTTTGAATATTTGTGCAGAGTTTTTGTTATTGTATGTTTGCATCTTTAGTTGAACCACTCAGGTGTTTTTCCAACAGCAGACAATTATTATATACTATTGAAATTATATAATCCAGGAGAGGAAATTGGCTCTAAATTTAGCTTTGCCAATGGGCTTATGTATGTACTCAGTCTCTATCCATAAAATGATGCAATTGTTGTAATTTTTTTTTCTATTTCATGGAAGAAAATGTATAATAGCAGTATTATTTAAATATCCAAACATTTCTCAAGAGTTGAGGGATACTTGTTTTGTGGCTTTTACAAAGTAGTTTTATATAAACCAAAATGGGTTTTAGAATTCAGGCTATATAATGTTTGCTTAAAGTGATGCATTATTATTCCTAGGCAAATGCTTTTTCTTCCTTTTTTTGTTTCTTTTTTTTTTTTTAATATGTACATATTGAGAAGTAAATCTGAACAATGGCCACATATAATACTTTTTAAAATTGTAAAATGTAGTTATTCTTAATGGAGGCAAACATTTTTCCGTCTGGTTATGTTTGATTCGGAGAGGTTGGGATTTGTGTTGTGGATAGGGATTAATGGGAAGGAGGAAAAGTTTACCAAAAAAAGATGAATAAATCCCTGGAAGTAATGTCGCATACAACCTATACGTACTGAAGGGAGTAGAACAAGTGCACACTGATCAACTGAATTCTGCCTTTTAGATTTTTTGTAACAGTTTTATTGAGATAATTCATTTACCATAAATTCACCTTTTAAAAGTGTACCGTTCGGTGGTTTTTATTGTTTTCACAGAATTGTGCAACCATCAACATGACCTAATTTTAGGACATTTTCATCACTCCCTCCAAAAAACCTCATACCTAATAGTGGTTACCCCCCAAATCCTCCTACCTCCAATCCTAGACAACCACTAACACACTTTATGGATTTGCGTATTGTGGAAAGTCATAAGCATAGTATGAGTCATTCAGTATGTTTTCTTATGGGATTGGTTTCTTTCACTTAAAGTTTTCAAGGTTCATCTGTGCTGTAGCATGTATTAGTATTTAATTCTTGTTTAAATTGCTGAATAATAATCTATTATATGAATATACCACACTTTGTTTTCCATTCATCTGTTTCTGGACATTTGGGTTGGTTACACTTTTGGCTACTAAGATGTTATGTTGCTATGAATGTTAGGGTGTAAGTTTTTATGTGAATGTATGTTTCCAGTTCTCTTGATTGTATACTTAGGAGTGTAATTGCTGGGTCATATCCTAACTCTGTTTAACATTTTTGGGAACTGCCAAACCATATCAGTCGGGTTTTTCTTACCCTCCTCAACCAAAGTGGATTCTTCAAGGACACCAGTGACTTCTATGTTGCGAGATCTAATGGTCAGTCAGCAGTTGTCTTAATTTATCTATTATGGGAATATAATTTCATGAATCATTACCTACTTTGAAAATTCTTAAACCATTTTATTAAAGAAGCAGTACATGTGCATTGTAGACAATTTAAAAATACAGCAAGCAAAAATATTAAAAGTTGAAATTTCATGTTCTCCTCATGCTAAAATTTTAATGTTGGGGCTTGGAGATAATGTGATGGCCTTGTTGTTAAGTTTATTCCTAGGTATCTTATTTGTAGATTGATTCCTTAATTCCTCTTCCTGTTGCTTCATTATTGGCACATAGAAATGCATATTTCTGTACATTAATTTTGTATCCTGTGACTTTACTGAATTCATGTATCAGCTCTAGCAGTTTTTTGGTGGAGTCTTTAGCTTTTCTATATAGAGTATCTTGACATCTACAAATAGTGAAAATTTTACTTCTTCCTTGCCAATTTGGATGCCTTTTATTTTTTTGTTGTCTGGTTGTTATGGCTAGGACATCCAGTACTATGTTAAATAAGTGGTGAGAGAGGACATCCCTGTCTTGTGCCTGACCATAGGAAAAAGCTCTCGGTTGTTCCCATTGAGGATGGTATTAGCTGTGGGTTATTCATATATGACCTTACTATGTTCCTTCAAAACCCAATTTGTTGAGGCTTTTATTGTGAATGGACATTGTACTTTTTGTGAAATGCTTTTTCTACATCTATTAAAAAGATCATATGGTTCTTATCCTTTCTTTTATTAAAGTGGTATATCATGATTGATTTACAAATATTGAACCACCCTTGCAAACTAGGAATAAATCCCAGTTGATGGATTTTTTTAATGTACCGTTAGATTTGGTTTGCTAGTGTTTTATTGAGAATTTTTGTATCCATGTTCATTGGGGGTATTGGCCTGTACTTCTTTTATTTAGTGGAGTCTTTCTCTGGTCCTGGTTTCAGGGTAATGGCTCATAGAATAAATTTAGAAGTTTTCCTTTTCTATTTTTTGGAATAGTTTGAAAAGAATAGGTATTATTAGCTCTTCTTTAGATGTTTGGTAGAATTTACCTTTGAAGCCATCTTGCCCTGGACATTTGTTGTGAGATTTTTAATTACTGATTCAATTTCTTTTCCGGTTATCCGTCTATTCAAGTTTTCAATTTCTTCCTGTTTCAGTTTTGGTAGTTTATGTTTCTAGGGATTTATCCATTTCTTCCAGGTTGTCCAGTTTGTTGGCATATAGTTTATCATGATATTCTCTTATAATTGTTTATATTTCTGTGCTGTTGGTTGCTATTTCTCATCTGTCTTTTGTGATTTCATTTATTTGGGTCCTTTCTCTTTTTGATAGGTTTGGCTAGAGGTTTGTCAATTTTATTATTTTTTTTCAAAGAACCAGCTCCTGGGTTCATTGATCTGTTTCTATATCATTTATTTTTGCTCACATTTTTATTGTTTCCTTCTCTCTGCTGGCTTTAGGCTTTGTTTGTTGTTCTTTTTCTAACTTCTTAACATTGGAGATCCATAACTAAAGGCTATTAGTAAATAGATATTTGAAGTCATAGGTCTGAACAACATCACTTAGGGAGATGCTATAAACAGAGGGTAAAATGGTAGGCTCATATCTGAGTAAATTTAAAGGTTGGAAAAAGGACGATCAAATTTTGAGGATTGGAAGAGGTGAATATTAAATGAATTGTATTTATAAGTCCTTGAAGTGTCCTGACACATAGTAAACAGTGTTTGTTAAATAAAATAAATTCAACTACAATCACCCTGACATATTGCATTCATCTTCCATTTCATTTCATTTTCTTATCTGTTTGTTTTAGCCTACCTTCTCCTTTTGATTTTTCTACTTATTTATATTAAGGCTCTGCTGATCATACAATCGTCAAGCACCCACACTTCTGCTATTATATACCATCATGCTGAAATGTGACTTGTATCCTTTACGGCAAAATCCCGTTTGTCAATATTGATAGTCTCAAACTCTTGCTCTCTCGTTCTGAAATTCACTCAGATTAGGGTTTTGTCTTTACCACTCCTCTAAAACCTTTTTAAGTTCTCCAACAAGCATCATATTTGCTAAATCTAATGTCAATTCTTAGTCTCTATCTTACTTGGCCTGTCAGCATTTGATGGTTTTCATCAGTCTGTCATTGAAATGTATTTTTTATTCAGCTTCCATCTCTTGTTTTCCTACTGTCTTATTGACTGATTCCTCACCTTCTCCATGATTTCTTATTGTTGATTCTTATTATTGGAGTTACTTATACAGCTCAGCGCTTGTAGGTCTTTTATTTTTACATCTATACTCATGTTGACCTTGTCTAGTTCTTTTTTTTCTTGATCTCTCTTTATTTTTAATGTTTATTTATTTTTGAGTAAGAGGCAGAGGGGCAGAGAGAGGAGTCACAGAATCCGAAGTAGGCTCCAGGCTCTGAGCTGTCAGCACAGAGCCCGACGTAGGGCTCGAACTCACAGACTGAGAGATCATGACCTGAGCCGAAGTCCAACGCTTAACTGACTGAGCCACCCGCGTGTCCCTGACCTTGTCTAGTTCTTATGCATCAGTGTTTATGCATACTATATTCAGGAACTCTTCTTTGACTGTCAGCACTATATATCCATTTGCCTTCTTGACATTGCCACTCATAAGTTTGATTGGCATCTCAAAGTTAATACAGGCCAAACCCAGCCTCTGATTATCATCCACACACAAATTTTGCCTCAACCAAGATCTTCTCTAAGTTCATGACAAATCTAGGTTTCCACTTGTTCAAGTGACAACATTTGGGAGTCCACTTTGACCTCTTTTGGTCATACCTTACAATGTGTCTGTTAGGAAAATTTTCTGGTTTACATTCACATGATACCTGCAGTCTGACCATTGCTTGTCACCACTATTATGACTACCTTGCTTTATTTCATCTGGATTATTGAAATAACCAACTTTCTCCCTGTTTCCATCATTATCCTCCTATAAGCTGTACTTAGCACAATAGCTGAGTGATGTTGCTAAAAGTATAAGGAGGGTAAGGGACCAAAACCCCAGTAGAAATAACCTCAAATATATAAATGATGTTCATATTCACTCAGAAATGGACAAATGCAAATTAAGACTACTCAATTTCTCATTGGTGAGACTGGAGAAAAGATTTAAGAACTCATGTTGGCATGCTGTGAGGAAATAGGCATGTTCGTACATTGCTGATAGACATGTTTATACATTACTGATGGGAATACAAGTTGCTACAATTCTAGAGAGAAATTTGGCAATGTCTAGTGAAATCTCGTATAAATCTTTCAACCAATGCAGCCAACAATTTTAAGAATCTACCCAAAAGATATGCCTCCAACAATATGAAAACATAGGCAAAAGTTTATTAATTATAGCATTTTTAAATTGCAAAGTATAAGAAAATCCAAATGCCCATTCATAGGAGAGTGGTTGAAAAATATATGATACAAGCCACAGTGGAATACTAAGTAGCTGTAAGAAAAGAAGAACTGAACTGATTCGGAGTGATTTCCAAGACATACTATAAAATGAAAAAAGCAAAGTTCAAAACAATATGTATAGCCTGCTACCCCTCATATAAGAAAAAAAATGCAAGGAAATATATAGGCATCCACTCATTTATACCAAAGAAATTAGGAAGGATAAACCAAAAACTATTAAGATTGAGTCTAAGGGAAAGAGAAGAAGACAATGGGAATGGGTTAGCAGGGGTGAAGTACAATAACATTTCTCTGATTGTATCTTTTGGTATAGCTCTGATTCTTGGAATCGTAGTAATGTTTTGCATACCATTTACATGCCCTCAGATAAACGATTAAAACCAACCAGGAAATAGGGGATCCCCAAATGGAATGCAAATACTAACTAATGAAAGCATATATTACAAAAGAATAACATGAGCACACTTAAAGGGACAGGAAAGAAAGCTAACCTAAGTGACTTAGAAAGCAGTATATTCACTAGACACTGAAAAGCCAAAGGTCTAAGTGTTGTAATCTACTTGGTAAAAATGTTTCCCATAAGGGCATGAGTTAGCATACATACCACTTTCATTTGCATACCAGAATTGAACGAAAAAGTACATATAGTTAATGAGAGACACGTTTCTTACTGTTGGAGGAAGACCTAAGGAGGAAGGCTAAGATAAACCCTGTAGTATTAGATTAGAATAAGAGGCATTAGTTTAAACTCAGGTTTTTAAATATGCTTTCAGACAGATTAATATACATGTGGTTATATGTGTAGGTTATGCATATATCTATACATTCACATATTTCCTAGCTTTCATTGAGAGGGCCTAGAAGCAGTGACACTCCAGGACAATGAGCACACCTAGCACCAAATCTTGGTTTCTAAACACCATTCTTCAACAA